GGGCTGATGGGAAGGTCTGCGTGGATACAAAGACATTTACCTGCCTGGATCCTCTTCCCCATTCACCTGGGGATGAGGGCAACATAACAGGCTGTCACCTACCCCTACTGGGACAAAGGATGCAGATTCGTGGGTCTGGGGCAGCCCTCCAGGATGTCAGGCCTCTGAAGAAGATCCTGGGAGGAGGGGCCGCTGAGCCAGCAGAATTGCTGAGCTGATGGCAGCTTCACTGCAGCCCTGACTGGCTTTCTTCCCAGATGCTTAACTGCCACCAGCCAGCCCACAGACCCTGCCTCTGCCTGTCAGCTGTGTACCTGCTCAGGGCATTCCCCAAGCACTGGTACCCAGCTCCTCATGTATACAATGGTATTGTTGAATGTGCCTTCTCTTGGGTTGCTGGAAGCGTGTCAGGTGTCACTTTTGTGGGTGCCACCTCTGTAAAGTGCTGTGCCAGTGAGTAGTATCTCAAAAGTCACATGCTCCAGATTCCTGCTACCCGACAGAGATGCTGCAGCTGCTCAGAATGGTCAGGGCCACGCCCAGTTCTACAGCTATCTCTGGGTTGGACCATCTACAGCATCCCAGCCTTTAGCTCCTGGCCCCACCCAGAGTCCTGAAGAAAGGGTAACAGCTCAGAAAACAGGTGACAAACACCTGGCCACTCTTCTCCTGTGTTCTTGGGTCCCATCATGATTGATACCAATTCAAGCATCCTTCTGATGCTGGCTCTCCTCTTCCACCCAGTATGCCTAGGACTCACCAAAGCTGCCTCTGAACCTTCAGTGGCACTAGCTGCCTTTGGGGAGTTTATGCATCATCAAAAGGAAGATAAGTAAGGTATAGGAGGGTATATGCACGGTCCCTGTGGATCAGTCTCTTCAGCTGGCCAAAAAGGATGTGGTCAGGAGAGGGAGGAGTCTGAACTGCAGCTGGGCCAAATGGATCCACCATCTTCCAGCCATGAACCTTCCACAGCAATACTACAGCTCTGAGCCTGTCTTCTGACAGGATGTCCCCAGATAGGGACTGATCCTCCTAAGTGGAGCCGCTGCAGAGCACAAAGCATGATGTAGGGAAAGGCCCCACAACGTTTTGGTAGTTCATCAAAGTCAAACATAGCACAATGGCTCCGTGACTGAACATAGAGCTAACATGGCCCAGTAATTCCATTCCTAAGACAGTTTCATGGCAGACGAAAACATGTATGCAAACAAATGCTCAAACACACACATTTGTAGCAGCACCATGTCACAGAGGCTGGGAAGAAGGAAGCAGGTCAGATGTCCATCATCAGTGAACAAATGAAAGGAGGTCACGCATGCAGGGGGACACTGTTTAGCCACAGAAATGGATGACACAGGGACCCAGAAAGGCTATACATTTGTGATTCCATTGATATGAAATGCCCAGCAGAGGCCAACACATAGAGACAAGATTAGTGGTTTCCAAGAAATGGGTTGGGGAAAGAGGGCAGGGAGTAAATGCCTCGTTTCTCTCTCTTCAAGACAAGGTTTTTCTTTGTAGCCTTGGTTGTCCTGGAACTCACTTTGTAGATCAGGTCGATCTTGATCTCACAGAGATCCGCCTGCCTCTGCCTCTCAGATGCTGGGATTAAAGCAAAAGCCACCATGCCCAGCTCTGCCTTTGCTCTACCTGCTCTCTCTCTCTCTCTCTCTCTCTCTCTCTCTCTCTCTCTCTCCAAGATAGACAGGGTTTCTCTGTGTAGCCCTGACTGTCCTGGAACTCTTTGTAGACCAGGCTGGCCTCGAGCTCACAGAAATCTGCCTGCTTCTGCCTCCTGGGTGCTGGAGTAAAGGTGTAGGCCATGGCCACCATTGCCACCTCTTAAAGGCAGGATGGAAACATTTGGTAGTCACATAGAGGTAGTAGTTGCACAGTGTCAATCCACTAAATGTCACTGTGCCATTGAATTGATTTTTTTATAATTATTCTTTTTTAAAATACATTTAAATAAATTCTTTTTAGATACATTGAATTGATTCTTTTTTAAATCATTATGTAGCCAAGTGAGGCTGGCCTTGAACTCCTCCTAACTCAGGTTCCCAAGTGCCAGGATAGATGTGTCATATTGACTAAATTGCTCTTTTTTTTTTTTAGACAGGGTTTCTCTGTAGCCTTGGAGTCTGTCCTGGAACTAGCTCTTGTAGACCAAGTTAGCCTCGAACTCACAGAGATCCGCCTTCCTCTACCTCCCAAGTGCTGGGATTAAAGGCATGCACCACTACCGCCCAGTCTTTTCACTCTGTTTTTATATATGCATTGCTGGGTTGGCCTAGAATGTGCCAGGCAGTCTCTCTATTACTGATTTGCATCCTTTGCTTGAACTGTTCAAATTGTTAAATTTAAATGGCCAATTGTAGGACTAGAGAGATGGGTCATCTGTTAGGAGTCATTCTGTTTTTGCAGGGGATCTGAGTTCAGTTCCCAGCACACACATCAGATAGCTCACAACCACCAGCAACCCCCAGCTCTAGGGGATCATATACTCTTTCCTGGCCTCCGAAGGCACCTGCATGCATGTATGCATGCTAACACACACACACACACACACACCCATAAACAAAAACAAACCTTTAATAAATGGACAATTTTATGCTTTGTGAGCTTCACCTGAGCCAGTACAAAGTCTCACAAAGAACAAGCTCGTAAGATGAAATTGAAGGTGCTGAGAGCCAAGAGCTGTGTGGGTGCGGGGTGGAGGGAGAACAGCCTAGGCACAGACAAAGGACCTAAATAAGGGCCTGGTGAGAGATCTCTGCTGAGCCAGTGACCTGGGGGAAGGAGAGATTAGGCAGAGGCAAGGACTAGGAGACCCAGGAACCTGGAAGTTCTCTGGTACCCCTGAAGGCTCTTGTGGGTTAACAAGGCCAGATTTCAGTTTGCAAAAGACCACACAGGCACAGCTGTGATTCCAGCGCTTGAGAAGTGGGGGCAGGAGGAGGTCAAGGTCATCTTCAGTTACAGAGCAAGTTCCAACCAGCCTGGGATACAAGAAATTGTGTGAAGAGGAGGAGAGGAGGGTCTGGCAAACAGGTTGACTGTTAAAGGGGGACTAAAGTGGGGCTTTCTAAAATGTGAGTGGTGGCGCATGCTTCTAATCCCAGCACTTGGGAGGCAGAGGCAGTCAGATCTCTGTGAGTTCAAGGCCAGCCTGGCCAGTTTGAGTTCCAGGACAGCTAGGACTATACAGAGAAACCCTGTCTCAAAAAACAACGAACAAAGACGTGAGGAGGTGGGTGCCAGGTGAAATTGTTGGCTCACAACGGCAAGGACGAGGGATGTGCTCAGATGATAGCCAGTTATAACAGAAAGACAACTGGTCAGTGAGAGTTACTTTAGACAGAAAGGTGGTGTCCTCCGTGTGGCATTTGTGTGCAAAGAGAAAAGGGGGAGAGGTTTTCGGGGGGGGGGGAGGACAGGAAGAGAGTCCATTGAGGTGGAGCTGGTACTGGTACCAGGGAACAAAAGAGAAGATGAGATTTTTCTGTCATCCGCAGTACACAAGGGTCAAGAGGTGGAAAGAAAGTATCTATTGGGTTTGTCAGATGAAGCTGGGCAGTGGCCTTGAGGAATTTCCCCAGAGAGCTGGGGGGAAAGCTGAGGAATGAGGGGGAGGTGGGAAGTGCAGTTACCGAGGTGGCAAGGACAGCTCTTCGGAGGAGAGAGAGTTTAGCTGGAAAGAGAATACTAGGGTTGTTTTTGGTTCTGAATGCGCTAAGGGGGAGGCTGGAGTTAGCATTGAAACTCAGATGCTAGTATACTTGCCTAGCATGTGCAAAGCCCAAACAACTACAGCGTTAGAGACAAGGAACTTGAAATTCAAGGTCATCTTTGCCTAGTAAGTTTGAAGCCTTTTCAGGGTACCAAGCAAACCCTGGTTGAAACAACAAAGTGCCTGGGGGTGAGGGTGGGGCACACACTTTTAATCCCAGCACTTGGGAGGCAGAGATAGGCGGATCTCAGTGAGTTCAAGGCCAGACTGGTCTACAAATTGAGTTCCAAGACAGCCAGGACTGTTACATTAGAGAAACCCTGTCTTAAAACCCCACCCCTGCAAAAAACAAAAGCAAAAAACAAACACAAAGCCAGGTGTTGGTGGTGCACGCCATTAATTCCTAAAAGCAGTAGCAGGTGGATCTCTGTGAGTTAGAGGCCAGACTGGTCTACAGCATGAGTTCCAGGATAGCTAGGGCAACACACCAAAACCACAAAAAACAAACAAACAAACAAACAAAGCGAACAACAAAAACACGCTAAGGAGGTAAAGGTGAAGAGGGAAAAGTGTGGGGAAGAGGGATGTCTATGATCAAGGACCTGGGTGCATGGACAGGAATTGGCCTTGGCCAAGGAGATGGACTCACCCTCTTTGTGGTCATAGGAAAATGGGTTTGCAGCCCTATTTATAGGTGCAGTGGAAAGAATTTATGGGAAAACAAGGCTAACTTTGTGGAGTTCAGAGGACTGTAATAAAGACAAAGTCATGAGAATCTGCAGTTCTAAAGGGGTTCCTGGGCTAACTTGTGTGCAATGAGGATCAGGCTGGGGCTGGACAGGTCTGAAAAGGCCCAGACTACGGTTACCAGATAAAGCAAATAGAAGTACAGAATTCCCAGTTGCATTTGAACTTCTTGTAAGAAAGTAATCCTTTTAGTACAACGTTTGAGATATGTTTATACTTTTTAAAAAATTACTGAAAGTTTTGTTGGAAATTCTATCTTGGTAGGTAGGGTAGGGGGACTGTGTATGTGTGCAGGGGTAGGGGAACAACGACAGTGCAATCCTTCCTGAGAACCAAGCCTGGAAAACAAGCAGTCGCACCAAGGCTGTGATGTCCCGTTAGTACAATTCTGGGGTCGCGGCTGACGCCCCTCCGCGTTCGACCGCTTCTGCAGTTCCTAGTCTCAGAACTTTCAACTATAACTGGCAACTCCCCCACTCATGGTCTCGCCCTGAGCAGCTATCGATAACTCTACGCTCGGCCCGGCTTCTATCGACTCGCTCCTACTCGCCTCGCCGTCCTGGACCAAGGCAGAGTGCTGAGCGTGTGTAAGGTACGGAGTCCGCGGGACGAGGGCTGAGTACTAGTCGCTGGGTGGCTAGGACGGTGCGGTCGGGGTAATCAGGCTGGTAGGACAGAGCTAGAGCAATCTGCAGAGCACAGGGGAGCTCGGGGGTCCTGCCGCACAGCTCCCCCACCCATCAGAGCCCAATGCCGGTCAGCTACGCATGCGCAGCAGCAGCGGTGCCCGGCTTCCCCAGTCGCCCTGCGCATGCGTTGCCTACCCTTGCGGCAGACGGCGTCCCTGTGATTGCCCTCTGTGTGTGACTGCCTCCTGCTGGCTGCAGGCGGGTTGGCGTCTCCTTCCGTGCTGATGAAGCGAAGGTACTGGCGCCAAGAAGCTGAGGAACTGAGTCGCCTATCTTGTGACTGCCAGCGTGACTCTAAAGACTCATTTTTCTTATCTTTAAAGTGATAATACTTAGTGTAGTGTGCAGATTGTTTTCTCATACATGTATCTTTCCCTCTAGATGTTTTGACCTTTGGACTTTGCCTATCATCTAGCTCCTGGCCCGGTGCAGGCCTCATTTTTCCCCAGCCATCAAACAATGAACACCACCCCAGGCACAGTGGGCAGTGACCCTGTCATCCTGGCAACTGCAGGCTATGACCACACTGTGCGCTTTTGGCAGGCACACAGTGGCATCTGCACTCGAACAGTGCAGCATCAGGACTCTGTATCCTTCACTTGGGAGCAGGCAGGGTTTTGATGGCCAGGATTAGGTAGGAATGACAAGTGCCTGGGGAAACTCAGGCCAAGTGGTGGTATTGATGGCCTGTGGCCCCAAGGCCTCCTTTTCCAGGGTTCCCTTCCCATCGTCCTTAACATTCTCAGCAGGTGAATGCATTGGAGATCACACCAGACCGAAGCATGATTGCTGCTGCAGGTACCTGAGATTCTTTACCTCAGCCTTTCCTTGACTGGTGGCAGGACTACCTGGCAGCCGTGCTTCAATTTAGCCTGTGTCCCTAGGTTACCAACATATCCGCATGTATGATCTCAACTCCAATAATCCCAACCCCATCATCAGTTACGATGGAGTCAATAAGAACATTGCATCTGTGGGCTTTCATGAGGATGGCCGCTGGATGTACACAGGCGGGGAGGACTGCACAGCTCGCATCTGGGACCTCAGGTGTTGAGTGATGAACTGGAGAGGGTTCTGGCTGTCTGGGGAGAGGGCAGCCAGGGGGTTGTCTTTGGGCAGGTACCCCACAAAGAAACTAACGAAGGGGGGTGTTTGAGGGGAGAAGGAAAGCAGGATGGAACTCCATCAAAGCCAATCCTGCCTTCAGACTAGCGGCCAGACTTCTATTCCCTTTCTGCTGGCCTCACACTGCCATCTGTGGGGAAGACCCAATCTCCACAACTCCTAAGGCAGAAGCAGCTCTTATTAGCAGAGAATGGGGGATTTTGGCGGGACACCAGTAGCATGCATTAGACACCATGTATAACCGTAACTCCCCACAGGTCCCGCAACCTGCAGTGTCAGCGTATCTTCCAGGTGAATGCACCCATTAATTGCGTGTGTCTGCACCCCAACCAGGTGAGGAGCACTCATGGGGCCAGGTACCTGGGGGCTTTGGAGGGCAGAGATACTGCTGCATCTTACCCCCACTACATCCCAGGCAGAACTCATTGTGGGTGACCAGAGCGGTGCTATCCACATCTGGGACCTGAAGACAGACCACAATGAGCAGCTGATCCCTGAGCCTGAGGTTTCCATCACGTCTGCCCACATTGACCCTGATGCCAGCTACATGGCAGCAGTCAATAGTGCTGTGAGTACCGGGATTGGATACAGGGCCATCTCAGCACCTAGCCCCTCATCTCTGCAGATGACTTGATTCCTTGGTCATCCCTCAGGACTCTCTAAGTTTTCTACCCAGTTCCCAAAGTCAGGCACCTGCTGTCTGCTATAGCCCACAAACTAGGCACCTCAACCAATATTTCCCTTTCTTTCACGTTCCAGTCCATGACTTTGATCTTCCCTGATACTGACAAACTTCTGTGGCCTTCCTGGGATGCCTGATCTGTTCTCCTTCAGCTGTAGAAGTATCCTTTAGCCTTACTGACAGGCTGCACTGTTCTGAGACCTTAAGATGCTCTGGCTCCTTCTCATGGACTTCAGGATGCTTCAGTTTGGTCCTTGTTGTCATCTCTAGTGTCATTTTCTCCTTTGAAATCCTAGAATGTCACTTCTTCCACATGCTTGCATTTCCTCCTCCCAGCCTTGGGTTGTTACATCTCCTGTCTGGGCGTCCTCCTTACTGCTTCCCTCCTACACATCTCTGCTGGCCAGCAGCAGCCTCTAGGGAGCTGTGTTCAAGTCCTCAGCCAGTGTGGCCTCTTGCTTTTGACTGGCTGGGCATGGTTCCTTGTTGGGACCAAGCTTCCTGTAGACATGACCCAAGATGCCAGCCTTCCTACCCTACACTTCCATGGATCCAAGTCCAGTTCTGAGGGTCTGGGTCTTGAGTGACTGCCCTTCTGTCCTATAGGGAAACTGCTATGTCTGGAACCTGACCGGGGGCATTGGTGACGAGGTGACTCAGCTCATTCCCAAGACCAAGATCCCAGCCCATACACGTTACGCCCTGCAATGCCGCTTTAGCCCTGACTCCACGTGCGTATTAGAGTTCCAGGGGAAGAGGGCATCTGCAGGGGCTGGGGGCACTACCTGGTGTGTGCTCAGTGGATACAGGGTAGTAGTAGCCGCTGAGATACCCAATGTCCAACCCCAGGCTCCTTGCCACCTGTTCAGCTGACCAGACATGTAAAATTTGGAGGACATCCAACTTCTCCCTGATGACAGAGCTCAGCATTAAGAGTAGTAACCCTGGAGAGTCATCCCGTGGCTGGATGTGGGGATGTGCCTTCTCAGGGGACTCCCAGTACATAGTCACAGGTGAGCCCTGCCCTCTGTCTCTCCCCCACATTGCCTCGGCCTCTGGAGAGGCCACTCAAAGTTGCTGCTCTCTTCTGCCTGCTCCCTCCTTGCAGCCTCCTCTGACAACCTGGCCCGGCTTTGGTGTGTCGAGACTGGAGAGATCAAGAGAGAGTATGGTGGCCATCAGAAAGCTGTCGTCTGCTTGGCCTTCAATGACAGCGTGCTGGGTTAGCCTCTACGCCTTGAGGCTGCACTGGGAAGTCAGGACTGCCTGGCATAGTGGCTCTAAGTGGATGAGACTCTCAGGTCAGCCTCTGCATATCAGGCCAGCTGGAGCTGAAAAGACTACCCTGGCCCCGCCTGGCCAACCTAGACTTGTTGGCCACTCTACCCTGGGACTCTCTCCATGCCCAGTCTGTTGTCAGAAGGTTCACCAAGCCAGGCTACATGTGGAGTAGCCTGGACAGGAAGTCTTTGCTCCCTTTAGACCCACAGGGATTGGAACTGTTGAGATTTGAGGTTGGTCCTTATTTCCCGGATATGTTACCCCCCACTTGCTCCTCTCTACCCCTGTACAGGTCCTGAGGCCCCCAGAAATTACCACTATGGCCAGGTAATCTGGGTTTATTTGTCCTTACTGTCAGCTTCCGTTCATTGGTGGTGGTGACCTGACCAGCTTGCTGACCTGTGGGGACAGGATTGGCCTGTGGGACCAAAAGCCGGGAGGGCTTGGTAGGGGGCTTAGTCTGGAAGGTAATAAAAGCAGACAGACACACAGATGTTGCTCGGGAAGCAGATGTCAATGCAGAGGTAGATCAGCCGCTGTCTCTGGGGCCCTGGGGAAAAGGGAACTCATGAGTCCCAAGGGCTCCGACCCAGTACTGTCCTGCAGGAGCCATAGGCCTGTTCACTCAACCCTTCCCCAACTCACCCTCTGCTCGCTGGGCCCAGTAGATGGGAGTGTCGGCACAAAGGTGTTGCACCGAAGCTCCCACTTGGGCCGGGTCCACAGTATGGCCCCCCAAAACTGCCAGCAGCTCCTGGGCATAGTGGGTCTCTTGGCCAGGTTCATGGGACTCCTGGGCCTGCAGAAAGACTCTGGTGGGCCATCATATAATACTTTCTTGATCCTGGCTGGGTAGGGCATTCGTGTTCCACCCCAGCCTGATGGCCCTTCCACCTGCTCTTGTCAACAGCCTCAGTCAGGGGAAGATAGAGCTTTCTGTTCCCCTGAAACCAGAGCCTTGGCTGGCCCAGCCAGGCTGCACAGAGGACCTTTTGTTTGTCCCCTGGCCTTGGGGAGGGGACTTGAAGGGGGTGGCCAGCCAAGTAGTACTGCTCACCCTGGAAGTGTTCACCAGCAGCCTTAGGGTCTCCCGATCTTGGGCTTCCATCAGACGGAGGAAGCAGGCCTGGTGCTCTGCAGGGCGGTAACAGATGCAGCCCTGGGGAGGCAGACAGGTAAGTCGAGGCCACCCCATACCTCCACTCTACCCCCCTCCCAAGCTTACTCACACTTTGCCCGTCAAACAGCACAGCCCAGCTGTGGTTGCTCTGAAGCGGAGTCACCACGATAGTTGCCATGTTCTGGGCCACGTCCACTAGAGTGGTTTGGTTGGGCCAGGGTACCCTGGAGCTTGAGGTCTTTCGGAGCATCTGCAGCAAAGGCTAAGGGGTATTTGGAATTCAGTCCTAACATCGGTATTTCCACATTACCTGAGTAGGCCTTTGTTCCTGCTGCTCCTCTATCTGCTCAAGGCCAGTGTTTAAGCCTGGCCCTATGGAAGGTACTAGCCTTCCTGCTCCCTTCCCACTCTGTATACCCCTGGGTTTGAGGAGTGGCTCACCTTGGGAGGGCTGTACTTGAAGCCAAGAAGTCCACCAGCCATGGCCCCTGCAGTGACCAGTGTCAGCAACAGCAGCAGGCCCGCTGCTCTCCAACCCCTATGGCAGGGTTTGGTCTTCACCTGGGGGCATATTACTGTCAGTGCGGCTTCTGGGTTAGAGACCAGGGAGCGACTTGCTCAGGGAAGGGGCTAATGGTAGGTGGTGACACCCTTGTCTCCTGTGGTGTCCCTGTGTTCTTGTTGGGGGTAGGGTGGGGGGTGGCAGAGACACTCACCTCAACAGGCCTGGACCTGAGGCTCTCGGTGTGGATGTGCCCTTGCTCCATGCTGCAGCCCCTGCTGACAATGCACTGATTGTCTACAGCCCCTTGGAGGAGTCAGCCAGGGAAACCTCAGGATGCCTTTGATGAGTCAAACTGTACCCTCCCCTCCCAATCCCACCGCTTCCTTCCCAGCCAGTATCTGATATCCTGGGTCAGAGCCAGGACAGCCCTCTCCCCCACTGATTGCTGGTCATCAGACATGTCTCTGGACACTTGGCCTGTGCAGATCATGGTTCTGGGAGCGAGTGAAAGCAGGACTTTGGTAGGAAGTCAGAACTGTCTAGATCTTGGCCAGGACAATTTGGTCTGGTTTGGCAGTTTATTTTCTTGGAATCTGTTACCTCTGGACTCCTCAGCTAGACACAGACCATCAATAAATGTTCAATGAACCATCAGTGTGAGGCTAATTGCTTTCTTTCTTTACCCATAAACTCCCAAGCCTCTTTCCAGACCCCATTAACATGAGGTTGTGGATACTCCCATGTGCACCCAGTTGGCTCCAAGCTGCCCTGGACAAACAGCTTGCTGTACATCAAGGATGGCTAAGCCAGCCTGTTCCCTGGCATGTTTTTCTAACCAAGCTGATTGCTCTGGTCCCTAATCTGCCTAGCTACATGGTAGCTCAGCTATACACATATCCACATATTTTACCCAGTAGCTTTATTCTATTCTGGTTTTATGCTACGCACTTCCTGTTTCATCAGGACCTGTTTGTTCCTCAGAAGGGTGGGGCTGCAGTGGTCACATCCACTGTGTAAGATTTTGGAACTGGGATCCTGGCCTGCCTTATGTCTCCTGCCTTGCCCCCATCCATAGCTAGACAGGTGTTGCTCAAAGTAGAGGAAGGCAAACCTTATCAGTGTGGGTTTGAGAGTTTAATGTGCATTTGAGTTCACAGTGAAATAAGGTGGAAACGTAACACACACAGGTTCTCAGGCTACTGCCCAGTAGAAGAGGGGCATCCCTTGCTGCTACACCTACGCTCCTGTGTAGGTGATAAAGCCACATCAGAACAGTTATTACCCTACCCAGATTCACGGAGCCACCCTCACAGAGGATCAGCACCAATGTTAAAGGCACTGCTGCCTTCATGCTGAATTATGGCATTATTCTACTCCCAGCCACCCTTGACCTGGGAACAGCTTTAGGCATGGGATACATTTTATTGCTTTGAGAACTTGATGAACAGGTGAAGTGCTGTGATCATGAGTAGCCACAGGGCAAGGAGCCAGGAAGGAAGGAGTCAGCCAAAAGGAACAGCTTCTTGGGTTTGCCCCATGAATGCTGCCCAGTCTGCTTAGGTCAGAGACTTGCAGAACAGAGCAAAAGGTCAGAGATGCTGAGAAGCCAACTGGTTGGTAGGATGGGCCTTCTAGCTAGCCACCAACAAAGAAATCCAGGATGGAAATAGATGGTTTTGTGGAGCACCGATGTATAACCCAGCCACAACCCAAAGAACATAGGCAAGGGAGGTTGTTAGAGACAACTATTCTCAGGACTCCTCTTTCCTTCCATACCAGAGGGCACTCTGGGAAACAGGGCAATCCTTGGGCTGCACATTGGCTCTGCTGCTGATTGCGGCTTAAGAGTTTTTCAGTGGGATTTACCCTTGACACAGCACAGCTAATAGTCCATACACTAAAGATGCAATTCCACCCCTGACAATGTTGGTGAGTAGTTTAAGAATTTTTTTTTTAAAAAATAAACACTGTCCAAAGGTCCCTGTACAGCAGTATGGAGTTAAATCCATACCCGCTCAGCAGAGCACACTCAGTGAGACATTTGGGTTTAAATTCACACAAGAGAGCCCAAGTTTAGCTAGGCTGTTACTGTGCACGAGAGACTGCAATCCTGGGCATCAGAACAGACAATTGTGACATCAAAGTGGTTTTCAAGGAAGCCAAGATGAGTGGAAGCTGTCAAGGGCAGCATACTAAACCCCAACAACAGTAATTCCTCCTGGAAGCAGCTTCCTCCACTCCCGCCCTGCAGGGGAGGAACTGGGAACACAGAAGCAGGCTCCTCTGTAGTATGGTCACAATGGAGGACACCCCAGTTTCTGGTCTATACAAGTGTCTCATGAGAGCCCTTCCTTTCCTCTCTGCCCACCTGAGGGTCTGATCCCTGAATACAGTAAAATGCATGACGCATACCCCTTGACCTACTTCAGACTCATCAACAGGGCCTAAGGCTACCGGAATCCTGGGCGGATGCTACGCCCACCCCATAGCCTTCCAAGTTTAAAAGTGCATCTTAAAATATAACCATCTGTAAACAACATCCCCCATCGTTTGCCTACAAGGTTAACTTCTTCCTTTGCTCAGTTTTAATTAACCTGCAGCCGCCTAACTGAGTCATTTCTAAGCCCCACCTATTGATTTAGGTAACTGATTTTAATTTTTTTTTATTCCAGAGATTAAAGACACTAGATCTTTAACCTTGAAGGGCAGGCAAGAGGTCGGCTATGCTGTCAACATAAAAGTCAGGGACCATTTTCTTCTTGTTCATGCAGTCACTTTCCTGATTAATCTTCACATCCTCAAGCGTGGAGACTCCGGTGAGGGTCAGGATAGTCTTCAGGCTACAGGTGGCGCCCAGGAGGATGTCTGTGTCCAGGCGGTCTCCCACCATGACGGTGCGCTCTGGGTTGATCCCATACTCCTGGGACACGCAGTCGAAGATGAAGCGGCTAGGCTTCCCGATGATGTCAGCCTGGCGCTGGGCGGCCATCTCCACGGCTCGCACCAGACAGCCGGTACCTGCAGGGCGAGGGAGGGAAGGGGACGCTGGGGGTCAGAGGACACGGAAGGGCTGGACCCGCCCTCCAACCTCCAGCCCCTAGGCGCACGGACCCGCAATGAAACGGCCGTTCTCCAGCGGGAGCCGGTTGTCCATGTTGGTGCCCACGAGCAGACAGTCGGGCTGCTGCAGGTACCGCACGGCCTTGGTGAGTTTCATGTAGCTGAAGTGTGGGTCGAAGCCCACCACTACCGCACGCACGTCGGGATCGAGCGGTACGGCCAGCCAGTCGCTCGGGCTTTCGCCCTGCAACGCCTCCGGGCCCACACCCACGCTGGAGACACCCACGGCCTCCAACTCGGCCGCTAAGGCCGGGCTGCCCAGCACGTAGGCCTTGGGGTCCGGCACGCCGGCCAGGCGCTGGCGCAGATAGAGCGCGCTGCAGTAGGCCGTGCCGAAGACCTCGAGGCCCGCGTCGGGCCCCGCCGGGCCGCCGAAACCCAAGCGCCTTAGCTTCTCGGCGTAGGCCGTGCGAGTCTTGCTGCTGTTGTTGGTGATGAAGCCCAGTCGCTTGCCGCGGGCCCGCAGCGCCCGCAGGGTCTCCGGCGCGCCCGGCACGGCCGTCTCGCCGCGCCACAGCACGCCATCGCAGTCGAACAGCAGCGTGTCCACGTCGGCCAGCAGCACCTTGG